CACACACACACACACACATGCGGCTGCCATGCATCATGCCATAGGGAATAGAGAAATGTAGCTTATTGTTGTGAAGAAAGTGTGGGCAGACACTGCCCACGAGTATCACTGTGCTATATTCTGATGAGTGAGTGTAGCTCGGTTTGGAGTTGAAGCGTTTTTTGTAATTGATTTTATTATTGACATCTTCTGGCTCGCATCCAAAAAAGAGTGCAAGAGACAGATTTTAGGAAAGCTCAAGGGGACATTTATCGCCGTAGTTAATGGCAAATGTTTGTGTTTAACTTCTTAATATTTTACAAAACCGCTCAGCTGCCGAAGTAAATGAAGACCTTGCAATCGCTTGTAGTTAGAAACACTCCTGGCATTAGTATGTAAATCCCACTGATGATCGCCTACATTTCCATAAATGGAAATGTGCCACTAAGCATGGAAGTGCTGGAAGAGATTCCTCATGTAGCCTTGTAAAAATAAATTAAAATATCAATTTTTAAAACATGAAAGGAAATAATGGAGGTTAGAGGAGGTGAGCTGGGTGCAAAAATGTATCGCTCATAGTATATTTATGTTGTCATGCCCTACTTCAGAAATCTACTTCCTACCTGTCACATGGCATGCCATTCGTTATCAAGCTGATGTGTCCAGCCTGAGTTCCTGCCGCTCTTTCTGGCTCTTTTTAACAAGGAAGTCATGTACAGGCTCACGGATTTCTCAGACAGCCATGTGTCTGTGTCTGAACAAAGCCATGTGCAAGCCAGAAGGAATGAAGTAAACAGTCTGGGCTCAACTGGACTAAAATATTCCCTAAGTTTGTGTCCTTACACTCATTATTTGGTCATTAGATCCTCCGCAGTGGCAGGTGGTGCTGCTGCTCTTCACACACAGACAGCAGCAGGCTCCAGGTGTTTTGAAGTCGTGGAAAGGCGCTGTGGGCTGAAATAGTGCTCGCTGCTGATGCTTTTTCCTCTCTGGTGTGTCTGTGCCTGTTGGTATTCCTCTCAAGTGGCATCAGTAATTACAGGCTGGCTGGGTTCTGCCTGAGTGGAAAGGGCTGTTGATGAAGAGGAGACCTGTTGACTGGGGAGGGAGATAAGTGACTGCTCTAACGCTAGGGATGTCATAAGGCAACGCATATTTCATGGGCACATTCACACACATAAAAACTTTTGCTGGCTCCTAATGTCGCTACCTACATGCACAGAATTTATTCAGCTGTGCAGATCAGCACTTATCTAATGGTTTCTCATTTAGTTTATTGCTTTTTTAAAACTTTATATGTTACTACTGGAGAAAAAAATGTCTGAGAGAAGGAAAAAGTCTAAGAGAACTAACCTTAATGTTTAATCCTATGTTTTGGCAAAACGAAAAGAGGTTTCTGGGGAAACAAATAAGGGTTGTTTAATATAAAATGTCTGTTTTTGATGGGCTATAATGGAAAATAGTTATTAGTTATTGGAAAAAGAGCTTTCTAGCCTCTGTGGGATTTACTTGGCTAATTAACGTTAAATCAAATGCACACACTGGCTATTTTGTTCAACTGCTCGTTAATGCAAATATCTAATTAGCCAATAACATGGCAGCATCTCAGTGTATTTAGGCATTTATATCTGGGTGTTACGAAACTGCTGATCTACTGGGATTTTCCCTCGCAACCATCTCTAGGGTTTACTGATAGTGGACTGAAAAAGAGGAAAATATACAGCAAGTGGGTAAAAATAGTAACTCAAATAACTACTCATTTCAACAAAGGTATGCCGAAGAACAGCACTGGAATAATGAGGCTACATTTTATACAGGCTCACCAAAATTGGACAATAGAAGCTTGGAAAAAGTGCTGCCTGGTCTGATGTGACTAGAATTCTGCTGCGACATTTGAATGGTGGATTCAGAATTTGGCATAAACATCATGAAAGCATGACCTGCCTTATGTGTGCAGGTCAGGCTGATGGTGGTGGTATTAGGATGTTTTCTTGGCACACTTTAAGCCCCTTAGTACCAACTGAGCATTATTTAAACACCACGACCTACCTGAGTGTTGTTGCTGACCATCTCCATCCCTTTACGACCACAGTCTGCCCATCTTTGTAAAGATCATTGTAGGGTCTTTGCCTTACCTTAGAGTGCTTTGAGGCAACTGTTGTGATTTGGCACTATATAAATAAAATTGAATTGAACTGAACTGAATCTTCTTCACGCGTACCTAATCACATTAAAACCATCAAACAATCTGTAGGTCACTTTTTGTGGCACCTGTGATTGGACTGGGATAATTTAATTTAGTGGTCGAGTCGTTGCCCTGGGCTGTTTTTACAGAGAGGTTTGGGGACTGAACAATTGAATTTTTAAGCTTTTTCAAAGCAGGTTGTTGTTTTTATTATATGTCTTACCTTGAAGTACATGTAGTTGCCACCTCTATCCAGTTCTTGTAGTTATTTTAGACAACTGTAATAACAGTGACGCTGCACTCAGTGGCCCTTTGCTCAAAAGAAGAGTGGTTTGAATATTATTATTTTTTTGTTTGTATTGGAATTTTAATGGCATTGGCTCATTAGCTTACATACAGTCAATTAGTCTGATCAGCAGTTTACTATTTGAGGTTACTTCCTTTTACAATTCCAATAAATGAACAATTGAAGAGCTTTCTAGGATAGTTGAAAAATAAGAATGAGTATGATGTGAACTCATTTTCCAGAATAGTACATTGCCTGTGCAGGAGCTCATTTTGCTGTTATAAAAATAGATGTGAATATGAGGCGTGTACAAACTCAAGATGAGTGATATAAAAGCATACAGAGAGACTGTGAGTGTGTGCATTGAAATGAAGCAGTACAGCATTCATACCATTTTCTGTGACATAACAGCAGGTTTCTGGGTTTGTGTTTCTGAATACAGTAGATTTCTGCTCTAGGCAGTGAGTGGCTTGAGTTGTCAAGACAACCATGGATACTGCAGAGAAATTCAGCCTTTTCTCTCTTTCTTAGATTATGGTGGTGTAGAGCAAAATCAGATGTAAACTCCTTCATGTTTGGTGAGAAACTGAAGGGTAAAAAAATATGTCTGTCTCGCTGGTGTCATTTAGAAAGCCGCTTGTCTTTTTTTGGCTTACTTGTGACTTCGATTTCTTTTATCTCAAGAGAGTGTATCTTGGTTACATGTCAGCAATTCACTGGGCTAAGATCAAATGCTAAAACAGTTGCTAAATATAATTAGAATAAAAAGAAGAGCGTGTACAGTCATGTGAAAAAGTAATTTTTGTATGTCAAAATGTTTTGGCCATAATGCACAACATGTCACCACAAACACCTCATACTAACTGTTAAGCACGGTAATGGTGGGATAATGAATTGGGTTTGTTTTGCAACCACAGGACTCTCTTCTAGAATCAAATGTGAGGCCGTCTGTCCTAAAGCTAAAGTAAAGCTTGGCAGAATTTGGGTCATGCAACAAAAGGATAGTGATCCCAAGTGCAGCAAATCTACGAGAGTATAGCTGAAAAAGAAAAGAATCGAGGTGAGGCAATCGCCCAGTCAAAGTCCAGACCTCGAAATGCTGAAGTGGAACATTAAGAGAGGTGAGCAATAAACAACAACATGCCCACAAACCTCAATGAACTGAAACGCTGTACAGAAAAATGGGCCAAAATTCCTCCGCAATGATGTGAGAGACTGATAGTCATACCGAAACTGCTGGGACGCCCACTCCCGCAAAAGGTCCTGTTAGAAGCTACTGAAGCATGTGGGGTACACACGACTGCATAGTGCTGTAAAAACTTTCTTTTTCACATGACTGTAGCTGGGCTTTAAGTTAGTTAGATGTGCAGAATCTGCAGCTTTTTGACTAAATGTGTTTAATAAACCAACTCTTTAGTTCAAATGGGGTCATGAATATTTCTTTATACTAAATCCTTTTATAATTGCATTAGTGGTGTAAATTGGATGTTTTACAGCTCTGTCTGTATAACCCTATGCATCTAAATTATTTTGGTGAAATTAATGATCACTTTCTTTGGAACCCAGTGTAACCTGGGTACTGTTTGTCACTCTAGCGTGAGTCTCAGGTTCTTGTCAGCACCATTTTTATCCTTATAAACATACATGCAAAACAGTGTAGGGCAACACAAACAGTACATTTTGAGAGTTGTACATTGCTTTAATCTGATTCCATATCCCTGTGTTTACAACATTTACTCATATTGGGATTTGCTGGATGGCATAAGGCAGTTTAAAGCATAAGGCAGAGACAAATGGCAACATACTGAAGTATCTATGCAGCTCTGAGCTACAGCTCAAGAGTCACAGAGGCTGATGAACTGCCCCCTGCTGTGTGAGTTTGGTATTGAGCCTACAGTCCAGTATGGCGGGAGGAGCTGGCAGTCTGTCACTGGGGTC